GACAGAGGGTGTGGGAGATGCAAGGACAGGAGGGTACATGGGCAGGGGCAGGATGACATACAATATAGGTGGTGGGGGGGCAGAAGAACTAAGAGGGAGTAGAAAATTAAGGTATTATTGGCCTCCCCCATTTTAAGATAATAATAAATTTTTCGGAGTGAACCCATCCTGACCTGAAACTATGTCCACTCCACTGTGTGCTAGGAGGGAGAAAGGAGGAGTGAGGAAGTTAAAAACAGCAGCACCTACTGGCTAAAGGCTAGAACACAGTGCCCCCTCATGGCGAAGGGGATTAATTAGAAGTCTTTGGAGTCTCTGGCTGTTTGCACAAACAAATCTACAGTTGGAGAGGCGGAACTGGAGAACACTGCAAATTAACACATCTCCAAGTAGTATTGGTTTAAGGTGCTAAATGGATTTTAGAGTGGCGGGAAATCCAAGGTCATGCAAACAGAAACTCAGTTGCGTCAGCATAAACAGGAAATATTGTTTTGTCTACACATACCCTATGCTTCTAATATGGATGCTGTGCTTCTCCCTCTGCCAGTCTCAGGAAGGGAAGGGCAGAGTTTATCGTTCAGGGTTAGAGCTACACTGTTGATCCTCTCACAACCACAGCAGAAGGATTCCCTATAGTCAGCAATTAGCCATGATGGAAGATTTTTTTTTCTTTCATTCTGCCTTCCCAAAACAAGTTACATGCCTTATTTGGGAGCATGTGATATGCAAGAAATGCAGTCTTTACAACAAAAAATTTGCTTCTTCCCTGTGAACAGGGCAACGAACGATTAATTAATCTGCAGATTTGAAAAATAAAGATTTTTAAAGATTTTCTTTTAAATTTCTTGAAAATAATAATTTTTTTTGCAAAATATTGGTATTATTTTAAACATAATTGTAAATCACCAAGAAAGAAACAAAGTTCAGGAGAGGATGAATGAATTTAATTTTTCTTGTACCCACTGGTGACTTTGATGTACCTCAAAATTTTACAACATAATCCTTTTTATTTTTACAATCTAAGTGTTATGACAAGGATCAAGCCAAATATTTCTGACAGTAACTGAGCATGTCTACATGTGCACTTTACTGTGCATTAAACTAATCTAATGTTCAGTAAAGCATCACCGTCTACACATACACAGTAATTACTGTGCATTAGATTAATACACAGCACCGTTTGTTAATACTGACAGATACAGCTACTAGCCAACAGTGCTTTAAACTAATGCACCTTAGCGCACATGTGGACGTTAACATTAGGCACAGTTTGTGCCTGGTCAGCTGCACCAGCAGAGGGCAGCCTCCAGCTTGGTGCCGAGCCAGGTGGCTGGCAGCCTTTCCACCCATGTGCCAGAGGCAGGTATTTGACTGCCTGAGGATGCTATCAGGACCCCTGGCCTGACCCTTGGGGCCTATGCCAGCTGCTGTGTCCCCCATGAGTAGTGCTCCACCACTACAGGCACATGCTGGGTGCTGCAGCCCTCCAGACCTTGGCTCTGACCCCTGTGGCCTATGCAGGCTGCTGTTTGGCCCCTGGACACCATGCTTTCCTGGTGGAGGCACATACTGGGCACTGCAGCCTACCCAGACCCCAGCTCTAGCCCCTGGGACTCCTGCCAGGCAGAGCCTGCCTCCCAAGCACTGTACCCCATGATAACAGGCATATGGTACCCGACGCCACCACCTAGAGCCCCCATCTGACCCCTCCCTCCCCCAACAAGGCCTCTGGCACCTGCTGCCATGTCAGGCTCTCTGACAGTAGAGACATAGGCCCAGGGACCAAACTGGACCCAGGAGGAGTTGGTGGACCTAATCACAATTTGCGGGGCTGTAGAGGTCCAGTGCAAATTTAGACAGGTGACGAGGACCAATGCCCATATCTATGCAGCCATGGCTGAGCGAATACAGCACTGTGTAAAGATGAAGGCCCTGTAGGTGCAGTGGGTCCATATGTGGGAGCATAAGCAGCGATCCATGGCTGCACACAGTAACATGCCATTCCTGCATGAGCTTGACTGCATCCTGGGCCCAACAGACCCTGGCGAGGCCTGCCACAGGTCCTGTAGCACGAGCAGGCTGCCAGAGCCTGCACTAGGGCTTACTGAGCAAGAGGACTCAGCAGGGGAGGGCCCCTTGGGGCACCAGCTCCAAGTCCTGGTGCACTCCCCGCTCTCAGTCACACCCAACAACTTGGGCAGTGCAGTCCACCCCCTGCTCTGGCTACTCTGGCAGCATGCCACTGACATGGAGGACAAGCCAGGGATGGCCCCTGCACTGAGCAGCTGTAGCTCCTTCCCAGAAGGGACCACTGTCTAGGTGGCCAGGCTCCATGGTTTGGTGCCCCAGGACACTGCAGCCAGCTGGACCATGTTTCTGAAACCGGACATGGAGTCCAACCACTGGGAGCACCTGCCATGCCCACCCAGTGAGCTCTGCACAGAGAGGAGGTCTGGGGAGAGTGGGTGCTGCACCCACCTATGCCCACACCAGCTCACTCACCTGCTCCCAGGGTGCATATCTGGAACCAGGGGCTCTGCATGGGTGAGTGGGGAAGCCCTCCCTTCTCCTCCCTACTCTGCCTAGATGAGCTCAACCCCCCTGCCTGCTGGAGTCTTCCCCCACACACACACAAATGCGGGGTGGGGGTGGGGGGGGGGCAGGATGAAGTTCAGGACTTTATTGAGTGCCCCACAGGCCCCGAGATAAGCAGCCAGTGTCCCATCTCATGTGGAGAAACCCATCAATGGCAGTGGTGATCTCCTCCTCAGCTGCAGGGATAAGGCACTCATAGCATAGGCAGAGATACCCCTCCAGGTGGTGGCACATGTTTCAGGGAAGTGCAGGCTTGCCTGGGTCACCACTGAAGCTTAGGACCCCATGCCACATTCTCAGCTGCATCCAGAGAACCATGGTAATCATCATCAGCAGGGCATAGGGGGTCAAGCACCCCTTAGGGCACTGAAACAGCTTATCACAACACTTCTGGGTGACACTAACCGAGGGCATACATGTGGTGCAGGCCATGCACAGCAGGTGTCCTGGCCTGGAGTGCCTCTCCAGAGAGGGCTGCCCGG